GCACCAAGGCAGGGAGGCTCCGGCCCCTGCACGCGCTGCTGCATCTCCCGCTGCGTCCTGCTGGCCGCTGCCCTGTCCTCCTTGCCGACCCTGCTGCAGGTTCTCCTTGTATTTTTGTTGCACGTGAAGGTGCAAAAAGAAGGATCCTGGGCTGCTTGTGGCCCACAGGGTTTCCGCTTGCAGCAGCTTCGTCCCTCGCGGATGGAGGAGCCTCCACGCTGCAGGTTGGGTGGGGAAACGAACCACCAAAGCAACCAGCCTAACAACACAGCTTTTGCTGGTAACGAGAGCGTTTCTGGAGGGGTCGGGATTTGGAAAGCCAGGTCTCATTAAGGAAAAGGAGGATTTTATCCCCAGCCCGGCACCTGGCTCTCCCCTCTCCATGGTTTAGCCACACGGAGAAGGAAACGCAGAGTGATGCCCTTTGGGATGCGCCCGGCACCTCTCCTCCCATCCCTGCTCCGTGCCCGGACAAGTCCTGCCCGCTGCCCCCTCCCCTCCACTTTCCTTAACCCCCGAGGGGATTCCAGGCCTCTCCTCCCCCTGCGCTGCCCACGGAGCCGGGAAGCGGCGACCGCAGCCTGCTTGAAAGCATTTTTCTGGTGGAGACCACCGGTGCTGAGAGATTAAAACGGCTGTTGTTTCTTCCATTACTCAGCTTCCCTGAGTTATGGGGTGTAAGACGCGGAGTGGGAATAATTAGGGGAGAACAATGGCAGGCTTGAAGGCTCGGCGGCGGCGGCGCGCGGAGCGAGCCCGGCCGGCCGCGCCGCCCGACGCCTCCCTTTTCCAGCGCCCTTGCCAAGCGCTTTCCACTACGGGGTACCCGCTCCCGGCTTCCTCATTCCAGCGCCTCGGAGCCTCCGCCCGGCCGCCCGCTTAACGCTCTGCTCCCCGGCGGCCTCCGGGCACCGGCCGCCCCGTGGGCACGGGGGTGCTGGAGCCCGAGGCAGCGGGATGGGGAAGGCAGGAGGCGGAGGGATGCTGAGGGATGCGGGTGCTGCAGGATGCGGAGGGATGCAGGAAACAGCGCAGGAGGATGCTGAGGGATGTGGGAAGTGGCGCAGGGGGATGCTGAGGGATGCGGGTGCTGCAAGATGCCCAGGGATGCAGGAAGCGGTGCAGGGGGATGCTGCAGGATGCAGGAAGCCGTGTAGGGGGATGCTGAGGGATGCGGGTGCTGCAGGATGCGGAGGGATGCAGGAAGCAGGGCAGGAGGATGCTGCAGGATGCAGGAAGCCGTGCAGGGGGATGCTGAGGGATGCGGGTGCTGCAGGATGCTGGGAAGGAGCAGGAGCCAGGGCAGGCCCTGCTGCCTCTGTGGGGATCCCTGGGCTGGGGCACAATGCAGCGGCAGCCCCTGCATCCCTAAGGACATTCCTGGCCGTGGGACGGAGGCACCAGGCCATGGCCCAGGATGGAACCGGCCCTGCTCCTGGCAGCTTCTCACTGTCGGCTCTAGCTTTAATTAAAACAAACGCGCTATTTTCCTGCTGGAAAGAGATGTCATTCTGGCAGGCGCTTCCCCTACGCAAGCGCCTATGGTCCGGCTGGTTGTGCTCGGCATGTGGAGGAGCTGGAGATCCCGGCGGGATCGGGGGCTTTGCTTCCTGCGGGAAGGGGCAACTGGGCCGGGAATGCAGGAGCCCATGTGCTGCGGTGCGCGGAGACGCAGCCCCTTGCAATGCTGCCTCCCCAGGAAGCCACAATTAAAGCTATTTTAAAAGAAAACAAACATTTCTCATCAAAACGTCTGTCTCTTCTTTTCCTGGCCCCCAGCCGGCAGCGGAGGGCGGCAGCGGCGCGGGCCAAGTCTGCTCCGCACCAGCAGCTCCCGTGCTCCAACGGGCACCGGGGGGAGCGGGAATGTGGACCTGGACGTTCCCGTTCACACCTGGAGGGGACGGAGGGACGAGGGAAGCTGCTCCGTGCAGGTCACTGCTTGCAATGGGCACTGCCCTGTGCACCCCTGCAACAGGAGCAGTCCTGGGTTTAATTCCCGGGATTCGGCTGCCCGGGAGGAAGGAGAGCGGCGAACCTGCCAGGGCAGCGAGCGGGGAGGCGGCCAGGGACGGGTTTGGCTTCGCGTGAGGCTGGAAAAGGGGTTCGCTGAGGTTGCAGTTGTGTTTCCCAATATCCCAGTCGGTGTGAGGGTTTTGTGTCGAACAGCGAAGAACTGAGCTAAGGGGGAGCGGGGCTGGCTGAGCCTGCAGCCGCGCGGAAGGAGTGGACTTGGAAACCTCCTGCTGCCCTTTTGCTTTTGCTCCGAGGAGAAAAGCCAGAAGAGCAGGAAGAGCTGGAAAGCAGCAAGGAAGGATCCCGGTGCGAAGGGCCCGGGAGCCCTGGGTGCCCGGAGTGGCTCGCGCGGGGACGGTGACCGCTGCGGGAGGCTCTGCTGCGGAGCGGCCAAGTGGCTGTGGATGTAACCCGGGCTCCTGCGGCGCCGGACCGGCCCAGCCGCCGGCAGCGACGTTTCTGCACAGCGGAAAGCAGGACGGGAACCGCAACCCAAGCCTGGAAGCACGAGCGGGAGCATTCCTGGCTTGCAGAGCCAAGGGAGCCTTTTTTTTAGAAGAACCATTGCCACTTCCCGATTGGATTCGCATCAGCATGTCTTGTGCAAAAGCCGCGTGGTTTTTCAAGGGAATTTTTGCACGAGCATCAAACGGGTGCCGGGATGAAGCCGCCTGCGCCGCAGGAGATCCATGCGCAGGAGCCAGGCTGACCTTCCCGGGGCAGCTCCATTCCCCACGGGACACCACGCGGTGCCCGGTGTGCTCTGAAATGCTCGGGAGCCTGGGCGGGGAGGTCAGAGCGGGCAACAAATCCTGCCGGAGACACCGAGCGGGAGGAAGGAGTCCCCGCGGGACGGGGCTGCTGCACGGGCGCCTGTTGGCGCTGCCCTGCGGCCGGGAGGGCGCGGGGGGCTCGCGGACGGGACGGCGGCTCCCTGCCCCCCGGGGGGACGGGGCTGCCCGCGGCGCCGGGCACCGCGGCGCCAACCGCGCCGTTTCCCCCGTGTGTTTTTCCGCCTGTTGGCGGTGCCGGCGCGCGGAGCGGAGCGGCACATCTGGCTGAAAGCTGCGGCCGTGGCCCCTGCCGTGAGGACACGGCTCCGGAAGCGCCTCCCGCCGGAGCGGGACCCGGCGCCGCCGCCGCGCGGGGCCGGGCGCTGCCGGGGAGCGGGCGCTGCCGGGCCCGCGCGCGGGACGCCCCGCCGCTCCCCGCCGCTCTCCCCGCCGCGTCGCTCCTGTCGTCTTCAATCGCGCGCGGAGACATGAAAAGCCGAAAGTTGCCTCTTTTCCTGCCAGGTTAAATTGTTCGTCAGGAATGTCTATTATTCCCACAAGTCGACTTTCCCCTCCGTGGTATGTGTCCAGGGGTCAGGCCTGGCACTACATGAAAGGGGAGGGTATTCAATAACCTAGAGCCGGGGAAAGGCTGCAGTCCAACCCCAGCCATGCTCAGCCTTTTATTGAGGCAGCATGCCTTTCCCCATTTGTTTCCTATAAACAGCACATGGTAATATTTAGTAGGTTTCAAACGGAGCTTTTTGCATATTCTCCCTCGTCTACAATGAGCTACTTGGTAGTAGACAGTTTTAATTTTCTTAATGCAATTTTTGCTTTTTGTTCTTCCAGAGGGTCTGGGCTGGTTTTGACCCAGCCGCCCCAGAGAATTGCTGCGGGTTTTGGAGCTCGCGGGAACAGGAGCGGGAATGGGAACAGGAGCGGGAGCAGGAGCGTGCGCGTCCCCGCGTCCCCGGCACTGCCCCGCACAGGCCCCGCTGCGCAAAGCTCCGTCCTGGCCGCGACGCTGGCGGGACACGGTGCAGAGCCGCGAGCGGGGCCGGCCCTGGCGCCCCCGGCACCGCGGCTGCCCGGAGCGGTGTCCGGAGACGCTGGGCGCATTTCAAGGCTCCCTAGGGCCGTTCTTGCCCCGTTCAGCCCTGGTTCCCGCTGGGGAGCCCTGGTTCTCACTGGGTTCTCGCAGCTGCCTGGCTGGGACGGGACCGTGGGTGGCGGGGGCAGCCGCGCGGGGCGGCACCGCTGGCACCCCGGGGCACCCCGGGACACCCTCCCGTGAGGAGCCGGCGCTGGCCGAGCTCTCAACACCCTCTGCCGGCCCCGCGGCCCCTCCGGCTGCTCCGCGCTGGCCCCGCTCCCGGACACCCGCCTGGCTCCGTCCCACGCTGTCATCGCCTCCGTGCGGGTCCCCAAACCATCCCTCCCTCCGGGCCCCGGAGACCTGCAATGCCCAGGGCTGCAAAACGCCCCGGGGGCTCCAAGGCCGGGCTTGCCCCGCCGGAGCTCTCCGTGGCTGTGAGCAGGAGGCCGGCGCGGGCTCTGCGCCCACGGGGCTCCTCCCGGCTCTCCTGCTCTGCGGCGGGAACGCGCTCGAGACCCGGCCTTTGGCAGCAGCGTTTGCCTTGGACCGGCGCCCGCCGCCGCGGGGAGGGCAGCGCAGGGGGCTGCAGGGTCGTAAGGAGCCCTACGCCAACCAGGAGACCCGGCCCTGCGCCCGTGCCCGGCCTGAGAGCCCCAGCTGCGCTCGCTAACGAGGGCTCCAGCCCTTCGCAACCTCCTCAAAACCGCCCTAGGGAAATGGGCTTAGACTGAGGAGCCCGGTCATGGCCTCAGCCTAAGCCCCCTGAGGACAAGGGACAGCATTCGCCCCAATGCAGCCCCGGGCTGGCCTAAAGCAGGGTGAATTCTTTGGGACTTTTTCCGACTCAGATGCGCCCAGGCAGCAGAGACCTCCTGCCACTGCCCCGAGAGGAGCAGCCAAGCATGGAAACAGCTCTGCTAAATCAGCCCTTAGGCTCAGCATTGCACTGTACCAGTATCTTCAGAATCAATTACAGGAAGCCAGTTTGGTCTACAGAAATAACATGCGCTTATGTCAGAGTTCATTTGAGCAACCTCTTTTTTTAATGGCATTTAACAAACTCAGTGGGCACTCATACGTGTCTCCAATTCTGGTGATCAAACCTGGATTCAGATTTGAACCGACTGAAACTTTTTTAGCGTTTGAGCAGAACCAAATCTCACAATTAGAAACAGCACAGGAAGAGTCTCCGGGGGAGGACCTGAAAGGCCATCACCTTATGAAAAAGCTTCAGAAGGAACCTGTGAAATAAACAGCAACCAAACACTTGTCTTCTACGGAAGATGGAAGTAAGACTAGAAGAATATAACGGTCTTGAACAGTCAGTGAGTCACTCAATGTACAGGGACACTATTTCCCTACAGATCTGCGATGAAAGCCAACAGCCAGCTGGTCCCCTCCAGCCCCAAGGCGAGACCGGGTTGCAATTCACTCTTCACCAGCTGGGAGATTGTCTTCAATCCGCCTGATGAACTTCATTCTTATTTCTGTGACGCTGTCTCCTTTCAGGGTGTCTTGCACGAATTTGACATCCACAGCCATCTGGACCTAGAGTGGAAGAGGACAGAGCTGTCACTCCATGGCGAGAAGCCCCCTGCTCATGACCCACCCGGGGGACGTGCCAAGCGATGCGGAGCTCCAGAGAAGCCCTCACTAGCTTTCAAGATCACATCTCCTCCACACGTTACCGATGGCACGGTGGGCTTCCCGCCCAGACAACGTGCCTCCAGCTAACCCCATCGCTCAGGGCTGCGTGTCCTGGGGCTCTGTGCATATTCCTCAGAAAGTCCAGCTAAACAAGACTGACAAGGCTACAGGGGCTGGGAGCTGCAGCAAGGCACTAACAGCCACACAGCACCCTCCACTTGTGCTCCTTCCTCGCTGTGTATTGCAATTCTGAAACGAACCCACTAGTCACACACACAGAGCACTTAAATGCACTTAACAATCAAGATTTCTGTGGCCTCTTGGTCGCAACCAAAGGCGGTTGGTGGCTTACCATCTCCAGGGCTCCCCGCAGCACCCCGCACAGCAGGTTGGAATAGATGAGAGTCGAGTGGTTGTCGGGGAGCTCGACGAAGTCCACCAAGGGGTTGTTCTCCAAAATCAGGGAGAATTCATCTCCTCCTGGACTCCAGTTGGTGATGCTTGGAGTGATGCCCAAGTACATTTTAAATGCTATCTGTTATGTTAAACAGAGTATGGACAGAAACGTGACCCATGAAGTCACAGTATTACTTTGCTCTTTGTCAAGAAAAAAAAAAAAGCCAAAGCTTTTGCAAACACCACTCCTTTCTCCTAATTTCCACCAGTCAGTAAAAGTCACAGGCCTAATTCTCTCTTTTTTTTTTTTTTTTTTTTTTTTAACTCCTCAAAATCTCTTTTCCTCCCCCAAATACTCTTTTACTAGAAGCAAAAGCAACTAATATGGAAGGTCCTCCTCAAGGAAAGATGTCCACAGACACCTCCGGAATCAAAATTGTGGACACAGGAGGAACTCCAGATGAGGTTCAAGCTGCCACTCAAACGTAACCAGCACTACGAGCCTAGCAAAGCTGGGCTTGGACACTCACCTTGGCAATAACATCCGCAGTTTCCCGGAAATCGTGGCATCTTCCCACATTGGAGCGGGCCAGAAAGTCTTCTATGAGCCGAACGCCTATGTTGTAACCCCTGCCAAGCAATGAATGAGAACTGAGCTGCTTTAGGGAGGCAATCAACATTTACACAGAAAGATAAGAGGGAAAAGCAAGAATTCTGGGAAATATCACCATTAAATAAAAGGCAGTTTGCCAGTTTTCACCTCAAGGCACCTCGAAGGCAGCAGGTCTACTCACATCTTGTCAAGCTGCTTGTTGACGTCCTCGTCATTCTCGTAGTCCTTGCACAGCTGGGTGACCAGGGCTCCGTATGTCAGTGTGAAGAGCTCCGAGTTCTAGACAGAGGCAAAAGCAATTTAGTACAAGCTGGAATAAAAAAGAATAAAGAAAAAAAGGAGCATTACGGCGTCTGTGTCCAGTGCTGCTTCAGCTGGCCTGGAATGGGGGAGCAGAAACCTGGTGCCTCAAAATAAGCCATTTTAACGCAGTTTTTCACTTCTGCTTTCAGTTTTAGCAACTAGAAACATAACAGAAAGTCTAATCTCGGATTAAACGCCTATCACCTACCATGAGATGCATAGATATACCAATACTAGAGAATGAAAGCAGCAGGCAGGCAGAAAGGAAGGGAAAAGAGACAACACCAGGGTTAAGTGACAACACCAATGACACTTCATTTGGAACAAGCTTGCACAAAGCCAAGGCAAACAGCACAAAGAATCACTCCCAAAGTGCCACATTCAACAAACAGGAATCAGGTTTGTCAGAAGATGCACGGAATTCCATCTTGGCATTGTAATTCCTGGGGTCAACACAGAGGTGCTTCCAAAAGGTCTCAGTCCCATGAGAAGAACCAGTCAGGCTCCTGGCCGGTTTGGGTTAATTTTAGATCTAAATAATGGACACACGTTCTTTATGCTTAGTACTTCCGATTCCACTCTCATCATGAAAAGATGGGCTAAATTTAGATTGCTTAGAAGGACAAGGTGGAAGTCTCCACAAACTCAACTAGCAGAGGCCAACATTTGGCAGAGAATTTAAGACACGCAGCAAAGGCTATGCTGTTTTTAAGGATTTAAGGAATTTTAGTAATTTTAGCAAAGACAGTGCTTGGCAGCTGGAGAGCAGGGGGTGAATGGAGGGAGAAGACGCAGGCGCTGCCAGCCCACGACGCTGTCCTTCCCCACACCAAGCTTCCACCCACCGTCACCGGCCTGCGTGCGACCACAGCTGCCGCCTGCGAGCTGCTGCGTGGGGACCCTTGAGTTGTTTTAACAGAGAAAAGATCAAAATCCACTTCTGTAAGCCAAACCTTCATCCTCAGCCAGCCTACTGGAACTAAAGCACCGAAAGCCTTCCCGTCAGGTGTATTTTTGCACTGGGGCTCAGGACACAGTCTCCAGGCTACATGGCCCCGTGGCAGGCACGGGAATGCCTGGAGCTAATGAGGTAAGAGCAGCTCGTTATCCGCGCTAGCAGGGGGTGGGTTGGCGGGGCAGGGGCTGCCCGGGGCTGCTGTCCGGCTGGACGCGCTGCCACGTCCCGGGTGCTACTGCGGGCCCCTCCGCGCAGAAATCGCCACAGAGTTGGGAAAGCGCTATTTTTAATTCACAATCTCAGTACCGACGCTGCACCGAAAACGAAGTGTTTTCCTTGGTCTGAGCCAGCGCGAGCCCTGCGCTCCTCAGCCCCGGGGCTCGTGCCTGTGCGCCAGGAGGGCGGCGTTTGCCCCGCTCGTGCTCGGCCTGCCGGTGCGCGGCAGGGCCCGGCCGCCTCCCCGCCGCGGAGCGGGCGCCGCGGCCTGCCGCTGGGGCCCGGGCGGCGCCGCCGTTACCATTTTCTTGCTCTCGGTGCTGCGCCCGGCCTGGCGCGACATCCTGCCCGGCCCGCTGCGTCGCCCGCCCCGGCACGGCCCCGCCGAAGCGCCCAGCGCCACGCGCGCGGTGCGACGGGATTTGTAGTCCGCGCGCCGCCCGCCGCCGCCGGCGCCTCCTGCCGCCGGACTACGCGCCCCACAAGGCAGCGCGCGGCCCGCCGCGGCACCCGCCCCGGAGGGCGGGGGAGCGGGCTGACAGCTGTGCCACGTGACGGCGAGCGCCTACATTACCCGGCATGCAGCGGGGCGCGGCCGCCTACGGCTCCCAGAATGCTGCGCGGGGGATGCGGCGCTTCAGCGCGCGTGCGCGCCGCCTAGCGGCGGGACCGGATCCCGTCCGATGCAGTCCGGTCCGGTCCGGTCCGGTCCGATCCGGTCCGGTCCGGTCCGGTCCAGCCCGATCCTATCCGATCTGGTCTGATCTGATCTGGTCCAATCCTATCCGGTCTGATCCCATCAGATCTGGTCCAATCCAGTCCGGTCCTATCCAATCCAGTCCGATCCCATCAGATCTGGTCCAATCCGAACCAGTCCAGTCCTATCTGATCCGGTCTGATACGATCTGGTTCAATCCAGTCCCATCCGGTCTGATCCCATCTGATCTTGTCCAGCCAGTCCCATCCGGTCCGAGCCCAAGTTTTACCATAGTTCTCACAGAAAGGGCTAGAGAAAGGGCCTGCTCATCAAAAATCAATAAATCCGCACCTTTTGCACCCCAAAACACCGCGCTTGTCGCTCACATACCCCAACCCCCCCGAACCGCCAGTGACCAGCAGTTCCGCTGCCTCGTTTTTGGGGGGAATTTTTTGCGGGAGCGCGGCGGCTGCGGGGCTGTCCCAGGGCCCGGCGGCCCCAGGGCTGCCCCGTCCCGCGGCGCAGCCGGGCGGGCACCGATGCCCTTCTCCCAGCGAGCGCCGGCGCGACTCGAGCGCGCTCTGCAGACGCGAGCGGCCTCCGCCGAGCTTCCCTGCTGTCCCCTGCAGGGAAGCGGCCGATCCCTGCTGCAGCCTGTTTCCTGGAGGGAACACGAGCCGGGATTCACACAGCACACGCGGAGTGCGCATGACACCAGTCCTGCCCGGGCAGGCCCTGTTGCTCTTCCTGGTGCCGGGCTCGTGCTCCCCGCGTGCGGCGGGGCCGGCCGTGCCGTGCTGGGGCCGGGCGCTGCTCCCTGCGCCTTTCCCGCCGCCGAGGCTTCCCGAGGGGCCGGAGAGCGGCTCTGCGGCGGGAGCTGCGTGGGGCTGCGCGGCCGCGCTCCTCCCCGCGCCGCGGCATGGCGGGGCCGGGCTGGGCGCTGCTGCTGGGCGCCGCGCTGGGCTGCGCCCTGCCGGGCGCCGCCGGCCCCTTCCCCTTCCCCTTCCTGGACCCCGCGCTGCCCTGGCAGCGCCGCCTCGACGACCTCATGGGCCGCCTGAGCCCCGGCGAGATGGTGCTGCAGGCGGCCAGGGGGGGTGCCCTGGGCAACGGCCCCGCGCCGCCCATCCCACGCCTGGGCATCGGGCCCTACAACTGGAACACGGAGTGTCTGCGCGGCGACGCCGAGGCGCCCGGCTGGGCCACCGCCTTCCCGCAGGCGCTGGGGCTCGCGGCCGCCTTCAGGTAGCGCGCGC